AAGCAGCCATTGTACTATTCGACGGCACCTTGAATATCACCCACTGCCCGGACCTCACTACTTGTAACATTGCTGTTGCAAAAGTGAGGTCCGCGGCGTGGACGGTAGGCTTGGTGTCCGTCTACCTGGAGCCGAGTAAGCCCATCGAACCTTACCTGGACTTGATTGGCTCTGTCGTGGAGAGGCTGGATACTGCCGACGTGATACTTGGCGGCGACGTAAACGCGTGGTCCACATGGTGGGGAAGCCGCACCACGGACAAGAGAGGTGATCAGGTAGTAGCCAAATTCGACGGGCTAGGTCTACATGTACTCAACTGTGGGTCTGAGCCTACCTTTGATACCATTCGCGGTATGAGACGGTTCACGAGCTCCGTGGATGTAACTGCGTGCACGACCGCAATGCTCGGTAGGGTGGTGAACTGGCGTCTCGCAGACGATATATCCAGTTCGGACCACAGGGCGATTCTGTTCGGCGTAAGACTTCAGGTATCCTCAGGCACGGACATTTGTCGCTCCACCCGGAAGTACCATACTGGAAAGGCTAATTGGGGCGAGTTTCGAGAGAAACTCGCCTCAAAGTGGAAAGATAGAAAGTTAACATCGGAGGAAGTGGAGAAAATTACAGACAGGGACGTTTTAGAGAAGGTAGTCGACAGTTATGTGGAAACCGTGGTGGAAGTCTGTAATGAGACGATACCGGGGATACCTAGGAGGGGTAGAACAGGATTGCCCTGGTGGTCCGAAAAGCTCTCTCGCCTTAAAAGGGAACTTTTAAGGCAGAAGAGACGGGTCTCCTGCGCGGCGCCGGTTCGTAGAGGTTGGGTCGTGCAACAGTACATACATGCGAAGGAGAATTACCAGTCCGAGGTAAGGAAGGCTCAGACTCAGAGTTGGAAGGATTTTTGTGGCCGTCAGGGGCGCGAGACCATGTGGGATGGGATTTACAGGGTGATAACCCGTACCGCAGTGAGGCACGAAGACCTCCCCCTCGTACGGGACGGAGTTGTGTTGAGCGCGGTTGAGTCGGCCAGGGCCTTAGCTGAAGCTTTCTATCCCGAAGATAGGCACAGGGATGACAATGCGGACCACGTAGAAATGAGAACAGTGGCGAATAGTGTGAACGTGGGGCCGCATGATGAAACATGCGACCCCCCCTTCAAGATGCACGAACTCATGCGGTCCGTGTCGA